GTGGCCATACGCCTCCGCCTCTTCCTCTTCCGCCTCTTCCTGCTCCTCCTCCTCCTCCTCCTCCTCCTCCTCCTCCTCCTTCCCTCCTCCTCCTCATCCTCCTCTCCTCTCATCATCTCATCGCATCATAATCTCATCATCATAATCATCATCGTCATATCCCATGATGGTTCCCCCATCTATCATCATCCATCATCATCATCATCATAATCATCATCATCAATCATCATCATCATTCATCTCATCATCATCAGCATCATCATCATAATCATCATAGCATCATCATCATCATCTAATCATCATCATTCATCAGGCATCGACAGCGCATCTCAGCATCAGCCTCAGATCAGCATCAGGCACATCATCATATCATCATCATCCTCATAATCATCATCATCAGATCATCCTCACATCATCATCATCATCATAATAATCATGATCCCATCACCACCATCACCTCACCCATCTTCTTCATCATCATCATCAGCATCATCTCACCACCACACCACATCATCATCATTCATCATCACACCACCACACCACCACACACCATCATCTCATCAATCATTCATCATCATCATCATCATCATCATCATCATCCGCCTCCTGCTCTCCTCCTCCTCCCTCCTCCTCCTCCTCCTCGCCTCCTCCTCCGCCTCCTCCTCCTTTCTTCCTCTCCTCCTCCTCTCTCACTCTTCCTCCTCTCCTCCTCTCCTCATCATCCTCTCCTCCTCGTCCTCCTTCCTCCCCCTACTGCGTTCCCCATCTCCTCCTCCTCTCATCCTCATCCTCCCTCCCCTCCTCTCCCTCCCATCCCCTCCTCCGCATCCTACTACTTTCTCCTCCTCCATCTCATCTCGTCCTTCTCCGTCCTTTCTTCCTCTCCTCCTCCTCCTCATTCTCATCCGCCTCCTACTTCTCTCCTCCGGTCCTCCTCCTCCCCCTCCTGCGTTTACCCCTCATGCCTTCTCATCCTCCGTCACCCTCCCCCTCCTCCTCCTCCTCTCCTCTTCCCTCCTCATACTACCATCCTCCTCTCCTCTCCTCCCATCCTCATACTCGAATCTCTCCACCGTTTTGACAGCACGTGCCGACAACCCCCCCAGCGGATTCAGGGGGGGGGGGGGGGCGATTATTGCCCCATCCAGAATAGGCGAGCGAGGGGCGGCCACGACTCGTTGAAGGCACCCCCGCTGAAAGCTGCTGGTACAAGCGGCGTTCGGCCGAAAGGAAGGTGCAACGACAGTGGGGTCTGGCGGGGTGGGGGGGGAGGAGGGCCCAGACAGGCCCGCGGAAATCCGGACGGGTTTTTTTGGGCCGTTGTGACGTTTCTGGCAGGCTTTACCAGGCCTTGGACCGTCAAAAAACGGTTCAGGATGAAAAACCGGTCCAGGGGAAGGGGTCGGGACTTTTGGTGTCACCGCACTGAACAACAGCAGCAGCAGCAGCAGCAGCAGCAGCAGCAGCAGCAGCAACAACAACAACAACAACAACAACAACAACAACAACAACAACAACAACAACAACACCAACAACAACAACAACAACAACAACAACAACAACAGCAACAGCATCAGCAGCAGCAACCGCAACAGCAACAGCAACAGCAACATCAACAGCAACAACATCGAGCAACAAAGACAACAACAATCAGTTTTAGACTGTTCGTTCTTCTCTGTTCGCGTGTCATTCAAGATGCACACCCCAAACCCTGGAGACCCGCCCTCTTCATCTTCGATCGTACCCCCTTTTGGAAGGTATATTCATTATCTGCCACGCGTGGTTGGTGAAGCCCTTGAAAACGAAGGGTAACAGATAACGTGGGAGAATGAAGACGAAGAGATCGGAGGGGGGGAGAGAAGGGGCAAGAAGGAGGGAGGACGATGATTTGCGCTGCGAGTGGCGATTCAGCTTGCGCCAGCCACTCCAACGAAGGTTAACAATAAGTTTCGCAATGGGTCGCGCCACAAACAGCGCCACATATCACCCCCTTGAAAGAACGCATCGTGTATACCCCCACTGGGGGACGTAAGCTGCGAACTGGTGTCAGAAACAAATTTCGTGGAACCTTGAAAAGAAGCGGGATGTCGGGAGACTGGTGCGGAAGGATAGTGGGAACTACAACCGCGTCGAGAGGAGCGCGGGGATGTGGAGTGGATTGGGCGGAGTGGACAAGAGTAGGGTCTCAGGAGGAAGAGCGGCAAGGAGTGGAGAAGAGGAGCCGGGAGGAGTGCGGAGGAACGGGCGGCGCACGGAGGGAGGCGGGACTGGGAATAATTCCGGAGAAATGCGGAATGCAAGCGCGAAGGGGTGGAGATTGTTGGGGTGGGATGGGGTGGCCTGGGGAGGAGTGGGCGGAATGCGAAGAACTGAGGAATAGCCCAATGGAGCACGAACGACATGAAAATGAAGGTAAAGGGAAAGAGTAGAGAAGACTGGGGAAGAACGTTGCGAAGTGGGGGCACGTGGATACGAGCGGAGACTGGTGCGAAAATAACGC